TATATTCATGACACACTCAACTTTTTAATTTTTGCAATATTTCTGTGTAGGTTATGAGTTTTCTCAAATTGTCCCGAATCTCCAAAACATTTTCTAATCTATCTACTTTAAAAATCAGCATATAAGTGGCACAGTTCAAACTTTTTTTTTTTTTTTTTTTGAGACAGAGTCTTGCTCTGTTGCCCAGGCTGGAGTGCAATGGTGTGATCTCGGCTCACTGCAACCTCCACCTCCCAGGATCAAGCAATTCTCCTGCCTCAGCCTCCTGAGTAGCTGGGATTACAGAAACCTGCCACCATGCCCGGCTAATTTTTGTACTTTTTTTAGTAGAGATGGGGTTTCTCCATGTTGGTCATGCTGGTCTCCAACTCCTGACCTCAGGTGATCCACCTGCCTCGGCCTCCCAAAATGCTGGGATTACTGGTGTGAGCCACCATGCCTGGCCCAAACTTGTGTTTTTCAAGGGTCAACTGTAGTTACATCTTCGTGTGCTCCAGGGATCTTAAGCCTAAATACTGTTTTGACAATTGAATTTATTTGTATATATCATATTTACAAATTCTTTTACTTGAAAGAAACAGAATGTCTAAAATAATAAGAGTTTATATTTTGCATATAATTAGAAGTCCAGGGGAGGGTGATGACCATAGTTGTGTCAGCAGCTGAGCAATATGATACTCTAAGATTGCCATCTCTCAAATTCTACAAATCGTTCCTCTCACAGTCCAATGGTAGCCACTGCAGTTCCAAGCATCACACAATTATATTCAGAGGCTGGAAGCAAGAGCAGCACAAAGGAGAAAACTCTCTGCTTCACTTGTCATTATTAAAAAGGAAATATATTTTCCAGAAGCCCCTCTATAAACTTCTCCTGGCATGTTATTGGCCAGAAGTGGGTCACATGCCCACCCTGAGACAAAAGAGCAGGGATTTTGATACTAAGGATAGAAGGAATGGCTTCTTTGTGGAAAACAAAGAATGAGGGCTATATTCTACACAAGTTTAGCCTTATTTGGCATTCCCTCTTTGGCTCTGCTCAGTGAAGGCAGCACATCACACTTGCCCCAGTTTCCACTCCATTACTCTACCCACAATCTTGGCAGGTCTTTCAAAACATGAACATTATGATTGAAGCAGACAGAGAGGCCTAGTGCTTTCTCTATTTAGGTAATATATGTCTGACTTTTCTACGTGGCCTCTGTGGCCAGTTTATATTGTCTATTCTGTACCCATATTAAATTTTAAAATCTAGCTATGAAGAGTTTAAGTGATTTCACATAACCTCCTTTCTGAAGACTAAATTTGGCAAAAATAGGATTTCTAAAGGATTGGAAAAATTAATATTGCTTTGATGCCAACATCTACTATCACAGGCCAGATTTTTTTTTTACCGATTTATTAAAAAATTGATTGGAATATCTTGATCTCATACTATATTACAGGAACAACCCCTCCATCACTAATATGCTACCCCCAAACACTGGTGCTACTGGATTTTTAAACTTTAGAGAGTAAAGAAAATAATCTTTGGGGCTACAACAAAGAAAAAACTTAATGGAACATTTTATGCACAAATTGTGTACTTTTTGTTAGCCTTCTAAGTCAATTGTCTACTTTCTAGGTTTCTGAATGAATTTGTGCTTTGGCTTCACCTTATTGGAATACCCTTTATTGAATATTTAGCACTAATCAGGCCCTAAATAAGCACTTTACATTCATTATTTAATTTGATACATATAGTAATCCAATGTGGCAAAGTTGTCTTCCCCATCTTCCACCCTGGCTCCAGCAGTTTATAAAGAAGAACGAGGCTCAGAGAGGTGTAATGGCCTACTTGGGGCCATGTAACTTGAAACTGCAGTGTAAGGACTCAGTAGGAAGTCAGTTTATCTGATTCCAGAAGCCCTTACATCACTATAGTAGACCACGGTCTCTTGCATGAATTTCTTATCATTCTTTGGGAAGCAAATTTTACCTCCAGCTACTGGTTAGGGCCCCTGTCTTCAAGGCTTTGATAAATGCCTTGCACACTCTTCCATGCGATTCCGTTGCCTGGAATATAAATAAGACATCTTAATTAAGCAAAAGAAGACGTTGGAGGTTGGCTGCTGTCTCCTCTAAGGCTATGCAGGCTTCTCTACCCTATTTCATCTGATTGAAGTCTACTGGTAGAAGGTGAACTGCCAAATGAAATATTATCTTTACTTTCCTCATCAGAATAACCTATCCAAAACCAAGTTCTGTAATCAGACACAAGTTTCTTGGAAATACACAGTTAGTGGTCCTCAAGCTGTTCTAGTTTGTGGTACCTCAAAGTGTGAAATTTGGCCATTGTCTTGGAACAGTAATAGCAAACACTTTCATAATGCTTAGGATATTACAGTGTGGGTCTAAGTATTTGTATTAGTTTCTCCTGTGACTGCTGTAACATATTACCACCAACTGGGTGACTTAAAACAACAGAAATTTATTCTTTCTCAGTTCTGGAGGCCAGAAGTCCAAAATAAATACCACTGGGCCAAAATTAAGATGCAGAGCTCTGCTCTCTCTGGAGGTTCTCAAAGATAATTCATTCCTTGCCTCTTCTGGCGGCTACTGGAATTCCTTCATTTATGATCACATCACTTTTTATCTGAGTCCATCTTCACACTACCTTTGTCTATATCTGCCTGTGGTCAAATCTCCTTCTGTTCCCTCTTATATGAATACATGTGACTGCATTTAGGGTCCACCCGAATAACCCCCCCATCTAAAGATCCGTAACTTTATCATATCAGTAAAGACTCTTTTTAACATAAAAAGTAACACTTAGAGTTTCAGGATTCAGGAATTAGGACCAGATATCTTTAGTAGCTATAATTCAGCCTACTATGGTATTTTATGCATACAACTCACTTAATCACACAGCAATTGAGTTATATATTGTGATTATTGTCATTTACTGATGAGAAAACTGGGGCAGAGAGAGATTATACAACTTACTGAAGCTCCACTAATCACTAAGCAGACTTGTCTAGATTTGAACCCAGTAAATTTTTTACCTTAAAAATTTGCTATCACCAGAAGTAAGTGAAAAAATAATTCATATTGGAGAATTCCCCAGACACAGCGTGCCAAGATAGAAGTCAAATGACAAGAGGTTTCTCCTTTAAAGGCAGTCTTCCTAGGTTATGGAATTTCCCCACTTTCCCATCTTTGGCAGGACTCCTTGTTTCATCGTGTACTTTATCATCTTATACATACACAATCAGTTTAAGTGCAGAGCTTTTAGAGTAATATGAGGAAAGTATGCTGTACAAACTGTATGCAGTTGAGATATTTTCTGAACTAATGAATTCTTAATCAATCTATCAAAATAATGCCATGTTTGAGTTGAAATAAGCAGTATCCAAACCTTTCTAGATATTCCTTATTTTTTTTTTTTGCTTTTAAACACAGACCGTTCTAAAACAGCTTGCTAGACTCCTGTACTCTCAATAACCCGGCTATTTATAGCTTCTTCTGCAACCCCTAGATCCCAGGAAAGGGTTTTGTAAACTAAACATCCGTGGACTCAAACTTGTCAAATTCCTAGCAGGCAACCCCATAAATTTTGGGCTAAGGAGACATAAAGTCCCTGTCCCTTAATATGTTTGATCTGCTTTTTGCTCGAGTCAAAGATATACTCACTTTGAGCTTTAACCCAGAAGCAATATCCATCACTACCCCTGGCCCACTGATAAAAACTCATCATACACCTACCTACCTGTAAGAGAGACTGGGAATGTAGTCTAGGTATATGTCCTAAAACAAGAGAAACTGAGCTTTTGCTGATTAACTAACAACCTCACCCATATAGAACCTTCAAAAGAAATATGCCTGAATATTATACCACAAACATGGTAGAGAGATAATGTAGACCCAGTACTGAGACCACACAATCTTCAGGGACACACAGGTAGACTCAGATTTGAATGCTGTCTCTAGCCCTTACAAACTGAGGCTCCTAGCCAAGTTACAAATTGTCTCATCTTACAGTTCAGATAATTAACTCTCAAGGGGACTTGGTGAAGATTAAATAAAATAGTGTGTTTAAAGTACTTATTGAAGTACTCATTCACGTAATCATTTAATAAATAATTACTATTATTATTACTATTTTAAAGTTTTATATACAACTTGTTGCGGGAAGTCAGGGACCCCAAACGGAGGGAGCAGCTTAAGCCGTGGCAGAAGAACATAAATTGTGAAGATTTCATGGACTTTTATTAGTTATCCAAATTAATACTTTTATAATTTCTTACGCCTGTCTTTACTGTAATCTCTGAACATAAATTGTGAAGATTTCACGGACACTTATCACTTCCCCAATCAATACCCTTGTGTTTTCCTATGCCTGTCTTTACTTTAATCTCTTAATCCCGTCATCTTCTTCGTAAACTGAGGAGGAAGAAGGTCGCCTCAGGACCCTGTGATTGTGTCAACTGCCCAAATTGCTTGTAGAGCATGTATGTTAGAACAATATGAAATCTGGGTATCTTAAAAAAATAACAGGATAACAGCGATGTTCAGGGAACAAGAGAGGTAACTTTGAACTGGCCGCTGGTGAGCCTGACGGAAGAGAGCTATATTTCTCCTCTTTCATAAGCAAATAGGAGAAAGATCGCTAAATTCTTTTTCTCAGCAAGGAACATCCATGAGAAAGAGAATGCGCCCTGAGGGTAGGCCTATAAATGGCCCCTTAAGCAGCGTGCCATCTTTTCTGGTTGAAGCGGAAGGGATGAAATAAGCCTCGGTCTCCTGTAGCACTCCCAGGTTTATTAGGAGGAGGAAAATTCCCGCCTAATAAATTTTGGTCAGACAGGTTGTCTGCTCTCAAACCCTGTTTCCTGAGAAGATATTATCAACGACAATGCCTGCCTGAAACTTCATTAGCAATTTTAATTTTGCCTCATCCGGTAGTCCTGTGATCTCGCCCTGCCTCCATTTGCTTTGTGATATTTTATTACCTTGTGAAGTATGTGATCTCTGTGACCCATACCCTATTCTTGCACTCCCTCCCCTTTTGAAAATCACTAATAAAAACTTGCTGGTTTTATGGCTCAGGGAACATCACGGATCCTGCCGCCATGTGATGTCTCCCCCGGATATCCAGTTTTAAATTTCTCTCTCTCGTGCTCTTTCTCTTTATTTCTCAACCCAGCCGAGACACTTAGGAAATAGAAAAGAACCCAAGTTAAGCATCGGGAGCAGGTTCTCCCAATACAACTATATCTATTACAGATCTTCCTGTTGAACCAGAGCAACCTAAATATATGAGTAAGTTAATCATGGTATATGCATTCAGTAGAATAGACTGCAGGCATTTAAAAGTTATTATTGCAAAGGCTACATAATACTACTGAAAAATGTTCATAAAATGTTTTAAATTTTAAAAGTAGAAGACATTTGGAAAAATGATACATTTAAATAGGTTAAAAAATTTTTAGTCACTATAATGTATGAGTTTTTACTTTTGACTTTTTTATGTTTTTGAATTTTTAGTGACTATTTGACTGTTGGGCTTTTTTGTTCTTTTACCTAAAACTTTAATAAAATATTACAGATATCATTGAAATTCCTTTGACAATCCTAAATACTACTACTCATCAATTTCACAGAAAACCATTTCTTGAGTTTGCATATGTCTTTCCTGACTAGGTATTTTACTGTTTATGCAAGTATGTTTACATAAAATATAACATTTAGATTTTTTTAATTATATGAGTGGTATCCACTCTTGCTTTGTTTTTTTTCCCATGAAATATTATGTGTCTAATATATATCTGCATTGATTCTCTAGATCTAGCTTCTTTATTTTAACAGTTCCATAGTAATTCGTTGAATGAATATACTACAATCCATTCATTCATCACCATAGTTGGATGTTAAGGGGTTTCCAATTTTTTGCTATCCCAAAGAAACATTGCAAGTAACATTCTTTTAAATATCTTCTTATGAACATATGTGATCGATTCCCTAGCATATATTATCAGAAGCAAAATTTCTAGGTCATAGGACATGGTAATACTGAGGTTTATTAAATATAGGCAAATCACCCTCTTACTGAATCATTTTCCTCTAGGAATATGTAAGATCCAATTTTCCATAGCTTTTTGTGAATTCTTTTAAGTGCCCCCCACCTTTTCCTTCTGCCAATCCTATGTTTAATGATCTCTTTCTACGGTTTTAATTTTCCTTTCACTGATCAATTATGAGGTTTTCATTTTTTTATTTTTCATATGTTTATTGGACATTTAGATTTCATATTCTCTTAACTGTTTAATTCTTTCTTATTTGTATTTAACTTTAACTCTGATTTGCAGGGTTCTGTATGTTCTCAAAACTAAACTCGTTTTAAGATATAAATATCTCAAATGCCATTGTCTATATCGTGGCCTTGATAAATTGTTTAACAAATAAAGTTAAAAATTAAACAAATATTTGTTTACCCTGGTGGGAAATTATAATTATTTCCAAGTTGTTTTTATTGTTATTAATACATGTGGTTCACTGAAGGCATTGCTGAGGGCAAATGTATATTCCACACAAATCAAAGAGACAAGCGACAGAACCGCTTGCAGTTCACTTTTCCTGCAGCTAAAGACAACAGACTCTAAACATGCTGCCAACTGTGGAGGATTTTCATGCTGCTCATCCAGGCTTAAATATCTGCTAATTTAGATGATGGCTGCAGTCCATTAGTTAATAGTATTTACAACAAAAACATATGTCCAGTACTTGGAAGGACAGTCATTAGCTAATGTGAGTCATTTACGGATGACATAGAGATAATTCATATTGTCAGTATGAATTCATATTGAGTAATATGACATCTACTAGTGTTGACCTTAAGAATAGATGTTGATAGTTATTTATGAATTGACCATTAAGGTGCTCTTCAAAAGTCAACTCACCCATCACCCAGTTATGAGGTACAGACTGAAACAAACACTACAGCTTTAAGGAAATCGGAGAGACATGAGAAAAAGAAGATGGAAAGAGTCAGAAAGGACTAGGAGGACAGAGATTGGGCAAATTAAAGTCTAGAGGTACTAGGTCATATTGCAGTAACAAATAATCCCTAATAATAATGGCTTAACCCAACAAAATTGTTTTGTTGCTTATGTCATATGGTCTCTGCCCAATGTAGTTACTCAGGAGCTGGACCCTACTGAACAACAGAACTTCCTCCTCAAATTGATATACAGTTGACTCTTGAACGACGTAGGGGTTAGGAGCACCAACTCTTACACAGTCAAAAAATTCAAGTATAAATTTTGACTCTCTCAAAAGTAAACTAATAGCCTACTGTTGACCAGAAGCCTTACTGTAATATAGTCAGTATCAAAAATAAAAAGGCAATTAATGCATATTTTGTATGCTACATATGTACAATCTACTATATTCTTACAATAAAGCCAGACAAAAGAAAATATTAAGAAAATCACAGAAGAGAAAATATATTTACTATTCATTAAGCAGAAGTGGATTATTCTAAAACTCTTCCTCCTCAAGGTCTTCACATTGAGTAGGCTAAGGAGGAAGAGAGAGGATTGATCTTGCTGTCTCAGGGGTGTTAGAAGTAAAAGAAAATACATGTATAAATTGACTGGCACAGTTCAAACTTGTGTTGTTCAGGGTCAACTGTATATCATTTCTGATCACATTTGGTTGTCTAAGGCAAGTCTCATGGCCACTGGAAACTTCAGGGAGAATTGATGTGCTTTCCATGATATGCCTGGAAAGAGGTGTACTGGAAATATTTGATAAACAGCATAGTGACTACCAGCGGGCACTATGCTGATTACCAGATATTGGTTCAATTGGTTTACACTCTGTTCCATACACAGAATATATCTATTCCCACCCCAAGAAAGACAACCCCAAAATCACACTCAGTCATAGCTCAGCATTGTGGACCACTGTGTTAAATTTATCAGCCTCTGCCTCAAGTTTGGATGTGGCAACTTTTGATATGGAGACTTATTAACAACAAAAAAAGACAAGTTAACTTCCAATACACACACACACACACACACACACACACACACACACACATATGAGTATAGCAGAAACAGACAACCATAAAGTGGGAAGCAGTAGGAGACCAGTTCAGGAAGTTAAGAACTGCTGCAAACTGCCAATTCAGAGTTTTTTTCTATGAGCCTTCCCAGTGAGCAGGATCAGGAGGCTACCTGGTACTTCCTTCATTGATCCTAAACTAGGCATAGGATGATACCTGGAAAAGACAGATACAAGGAGCTCCCCAACTCAGTGCTTTGTCAAATTAATGCAACAAATTAAAAACCCTATGTAGCATGAAAAGGCGGAATATGACACAGTTTACTTTTTAGCCTAGACTCGTCTTTCAGTTTCTAGATCTGCAAATTAAATTCCCTTGTGGACTGACTAATTTATACTCCAAGACTCCTTTAGCAAATGTAGTTCTCATCTATTTTCTCCTCATTTTCTTCCTGCCTGTGCAATTGGCAGCCCCTGAGCTCATTTGGACTGAAGTCTAATATCTGTGCTTCTGGCATCTAGTTTGTTTTGTCCCAACAGAGCCTTCCCTTTACAGAAAATAGATTTATGAAAACAAAGGGACATTTATTTTAAGATGGAAAATATTGGTTAAAGGCAAATACCTAATATCACAACTGTTTTCAATAACTGTGACA